CCCCCCGCGACCCTGAAAAAGGATAAGCGGAAGCGAATGGATGGATCGAGGTGAGTGCTGTGAGAGAAGCCACTGCTCAAGTTGCTGCGAACAAGTTCATTACTGACATTTATGCCCGACATGGTTCTCCCTCCTACCTTATTTCTGATAGGGGAACGCCTTTTGTCAGTGAACTCTTTGAGCATGTTTTGTTGACTCTTGGGACTGAACACAGACTAACAACTGCATACCATCCTCAAACTAATGCGACTAAGCGTGTGAATCGCACTTTGAAAACGGCCATTCGAGCATATGTTGGAAATAAGCACACTTCCTGGGACAAATATCTTCCCCAGATCTGTTTTGCACTGCGCACTGCGCTTCACGAGAGCACAGGCCTGAGCCCGTCCATGATGCTGTATGGGCGAGAGTTGGACACGCCCTTGGACCTTGTCACTCAACCCTCCTGGGACGGACTGAGTGATCCTGAAATGCCTTACTCAGATAACCTGAGAGCTTCACTTCGGGATGCTCATGAACATTCCCGCTTGGTGCTCGAAGAGAGTCATAAAAGGCAAAAGCACTTCAATGATCTGAGACGCCGCACAGTCTTTTATGAAGTTGGAGACCTCGTCAGAGTAAAGTCGCACCCAAAATCAGATGCATCGTCCAATTTTTCTGCAAAGTTGGCCCCCCTTTACACTGGTCCCTGCCGCATCTCCAAGAGGATGTCTGATGTGAATTACTGTCTCACCACAGTGGACACTGGGGAGAAAGTTGGAGTTTTTCATGTTGCAAACCTGCAACCATTCTACACCTGGGCCACAGCTTTATCTGGCAAGCATGCAAAGGTAAAGGCTGCAGCAGCTTTGGATCTCGGTCCCCCGGACAGCAGCTTGCCTCCTGCTCTTTCAGTCCCAGGCCGCAATGACTGTGACGCTGTTGACACAACCCCCATTTTCTCTAGCGACACCCCTGCTGAGACTGACTTTGACTGTACTGACACTGTCCTGCTTTTCGTGGAACAGAACTCTTTCCAAGAGACTGCTGACATTGCTCTGGAGACAGAAGTTAACAGTTCACCTCCTGCTGACAATGGGTGTGCTGTAAGAGGTTCTTATAACCTCAGACCGAGACGAGTTCCTAGAGTCACCACTGACTGGTCGGTCAATAGGTGGACCAACCCTTTTCATACCAACAGATTTGACCTAAAGTGATCTTATTTGCTTTTTGATGTGTTTCATGTGGTCTACTGTTGTAACAGGACCGTTGTTTGAGTGTTCTACAATTCATGTTGGCAATGTTTTCATGTTTTGGTACTGTGTTCCTACTGACTGTTGCAGTTTTTGAAAAAGAGAACCGCAATGTAAGAAAAAAAGGGAATTTCATTCTGTAATTGTCCTGGCTGTCCTGAGTTTATTTTATTTCTATAACATTTATTTAAATGAACATTCACCATGTGGGACACTGTCATGTATGCCAGTTTGTCAATATTGCACTGCATATTTCCCTGTTTTGGTTTCAACATCTTATCCTACTGACCATGTATGGAGGCTGGTTAAGTCTGGACTGTACCTTTGCTGTGTTCGGCTGGGGACAGCCTTTGTTTAACCTGGGGGGAATATGTAACGGTCACAATGGTGTGGTGTCTCTTTAAGACAACCCGTCGAGGGTTAATGTTGTCATCAGTATGCGCCACTGACTCTCTCTGTGATTGTGTGGACATGTGCTTGCACGCTAGTGCATGAGGAGGGACGGGTTTTATGTTTTACCTCTCCACACACCCTTTTTTTTGCAATGTATGGGTTGTATGAACACTGTGCGCTGTTTGTTAAGCTGCAGCCGTTCAACCGGGCTTATATGGTTGACGAAGAGAACGTGTATTAAAGAATACGCTGTGCCAGCGTGAGTGTGTATTCTTTCGACTGTCCTGCTAAGCGTTTTTCTGCCTCCTCTCAACCACTAAACACAACCCGACGTTACATACTGATTAATGTAAATTTGAGAACCTCTGTAAAGTGTTTCCCTCATTTTCCTTTTTCTAGGCTACAGTAACCCTTTTTCTGGTTGTAGTGTTACGTTCAGCTTAGCTTTTAGCAAAAAGATGACCACAAATGTCAAACAGTGCCTTTTATTTTGCACACAAACTAAAAAAAAGTTTGATTGTGTTAGATCACTTTGAAACAACTTCTGTACTCACGGCAGCATTCGACTGACTCGCTTCATCCAGCATCTCAGTGCTCATTGCCTTTTTCAGCCTGAATGAATAAAATTATCTTTAATTAATCATCTTGTACAAAATGTTAAAAATTCAAATCTTCACTCTCGCTCTCTTAATTATTTTGTCTTTGTAAAATAAATTGTAACTAACTAACTAAACTAACTAAACTAACTAACTAAACCTGAATGTCGTGAACTTACTTTGCTTTGTCTGTGGACGAACATTTCATGTTGGCTTTTTTCTTGTTTTCTTTGGTTTCGCTGCAGAGCAAGACAAAGGGAACATGTGAGGATCTCAAATCTGACACTGAAAAGTGACCCTATAAACATCCTTTCTCCTTTAATCAAGAGTTGTAGGGCTGTGTGTGTCTTATGTGACCTTATCTTTATAGTGAAAGGAACGCTTGAATGCTGTGTTTTTGTGCCTGAGTGGACAGGTAGATGATCAAGCCTGCCTTTGCTTCCCTACTGCTGTTTAAACACCTGCTGGATAATGGCTGTCCTGAGATAACCATCTGCCAGCTGGGGACTTGGGATAATGCACACACACACATATAACACCATAAGCCCAGCCAAGGACATTGGAAGACCCGCCTGCTGAGGTGATTCATTCATTATTTGAGGTATTCTCTTTGCTAAATGTCAAATATTTCACCTCAAATGGCACACACACACACACACACACACAGACTGTCACGGCAAAGTCTGAAGGGACAGATTGGATAGACTCAGCAAAGCCTTCTGCTCCCTCATGTGCGCATCATGTCCCGAATGTGTTGCATGTGTGCTCACACCTCTCCAGGGTTTTCAGTTCAATGGTGTGCTTCTCCATGGCCATCTCCAACAGTTTGGCTAGTCTCTGTCACAACACAATAAGAAGATAGTGCAGTCACAGTAAGGATGAAGCTCCAACTCATTCACTCAGACGTGAAAAGCTGTGAGTAACAATGTGAATGAAAATGTTTGCTTCTGTGCAAAAACTGGGGTCAAGCGGATTCTTTATATATAGATTGATTACTATTAGTAACAGCAATCCAGTTTGTGTGTAATTAATAAAGCCTCTGCTTGTCCATGATCCCAAACACACAACAAGGAGAGCCCACAGAGGAAATGGTGACTACATCCTGAATCATGGACATTAATCTGAGGTGAACAGGTAAATATATAACTTTCAGAGTGAGGAGATTAATGGCTGTAGGGGTAACCAGAGCACACAGAGAAGAGTTTGTCTTTCAGGTGTTACTTTTATAAGCCACTTTGTACTGTAAGGACAGGATGTAAATATCATACCCCTTTGATGCCTTTTAGAAACACTTTACAACATTAGGAAGGCAACAGCTCCAAACATTAACATTATAGATCTAGTAATAGTGTTAAATGCATAGCATTGTTACCATATAAGCCTACTTCTTTTAACGTTGGAAACAGGTCTCACAGGTATCACCGTGCAAAATAAAAATTATATTTTATTTTTCAAAGCAGATTACGTTTAAATAATATCAC